GGGCTGGGAATGTCTCCAGAGCAGGAGACTCCACAGCCTCTCTGGGCAGCCTGGCCCAGGGCTCTGCCACCCTCCCAGGAAACAACTTCCTCCTCCTGGGGAGCTGCAACTTCCCCTGTTCCAGCTGGTGCCCATGGCCCCTTGTCCTGGCCCTGGGCACTGCTGAGAAGAGCCTGGTCCCCCCCTCCTGCCCCCCTGGAGATCTGGAGCAGCCTTGAGGAGACCCCCCCTCAGGCTCCTCCTCTCCAGCTCCACAGCCCCAGCTCCCTCAGCCTTTCCTCATGGGCCAGATGCTCCAGTCCCCTCAGCCCCTTGGTGGCCTTTGCTGTCCCCTCTCCAGCAGCTCCTTGTCCTTCTGGGGAGCCCAGCCCTGGACCCACTTCTCCAGATGGGCCCTCACCAGAGGGGCAGGAGAACCTCCTTGCCCTCCTGCCCACACTCTCCTTGGTGCCCCCCAGGAGCCCAGGGGCCCTCTTGGGCACCAGGGCTTGTTTTCACCTCATGGTCACCCTGTTGTCCCCCAGGACCCCCAGGTCCTTGTCCCCAGAGCTGCTCCCCAGCAGGTCCCCCCACCCTGTGCTGCTCCCTGGGGTTGTTCCTCCTTGGGTGCAGCTCTTGCACCTGCCCTGGTTGAACCTCATGAGGTTCCTCTCTGCCCAACCCTCTCACTGGCACCAACCACCCTCCAGAGGCTGAAGACTTTGGAGCTCTGCTGATGGGGTGGGATCAGCTGAGACCATTTGGGAAGGACACTTCACACTCCCCCCCATGGCCTACAGAAGACAAGGAGCTCCCTGGAACGGGTCCAGCTGGGCTGAGCATTGCCAGGTTGGGGCAGCACCAGTGGCCAAGGTCTCCTTCTCCTTCCCAGCCCCACGATTTGTGGCACTTTGGGGATTTCCCTGATGGCAACATCGCTCCTAAACACGGCACTTCCCAAGTGACAAAGCCCAAATGTCCAAAGCACCATGTCCCCATGGTGGGGTGGGACCACCTCATCCACTACCCTGCCCTGCCCTTTCCTCCAGGTTCCACAGAAGGACAATGACTCTTTCCTCCAGCCTCAGATGCCACAGGACACAGAGTGACCACAATGGGGAGGAACAAACCAACCCAAGGTCCAACCAACTCAACCCTCCCCTATGAACAACCCCCCCCGTCACGCTCCACTCAGCCCACGGTTTGGGGTGACCAAAAGGCTTCTTGGGGGACACTCACCATCTCTGTAGGGCTGCAGGGCCTCATCTCCCCAGGATGGGGGGAAAGGGGACAGAGGAGATCGTGGGATGCTGCCCTCGGATATGGGGGTGACGCTCTTGCGGGGCGTGAAGCCATGAGGGTCCCGGCCCGGGGAGGGGGGCTGGGCCCCCAGGGCTGCCTGCAGCAGTGGGTGCTCGGCCGAGTTGGCCAACAGCTCCTTCAGGATGTTGATGGGTGAGATGGTGAGTTCCCAATTGGTGATGCCAAAGTCTCTCAGGTGGGCCCTGGCGTGGCTGGAGAGCCCGGCCCGTGTGTCGAAGCCGGCCCCGCAGAACTCGCAGCGCATCAGGCTGAAGGTGCTGGGGTCAAAGTTTGCAACTGTGGAGAGAAGGGGCAAGGAGAAGGGCAGAGAGTCACCACCACCCCCACCAAGACCATGACTGGGGCCAGGGAAGGGGGATGTGAGGGGGTGTTGCAACCAAGACAACCACACGGTTGCGCCGCGGCCACCAGGGTTCAGGTTGACCCCGGTCTCATACGTACCCAAGGGCTGGTGGGAGGAGAAAAGCCCACCAGGTGAAAGGAGGGAATAGAAACACAGTGAATTGAATACATACTACCTTTTTTCTTCTTCTTTTGGAAGGAAAATTTTTGCTCAATGGCTTTCACTTCTTCTGCTGAGATGAAGTGCCGGACGTTGTAGCTCACCCCCACCCTGTTGAGGTGGCCCCGCACGTGGTTCGCCAACCCGATCCCGTTGTGGAACCTGTCTGGGCAGTAGGGACATTTCCTCTCCTCATTCTTCAGCATGGGTGAGTCAGAGTCCAAGAGGTCATCAAGCTCCAGAGGACCCTCCAGAGGAGAATCCAGCAGGAGCATATCCAAGGGAAGGTGCTCTTCCACCAGGAATTCCCGAGGAGGGAGCATCGTTTTCCTCTTGAACGCCTTGGCCCGAGGCCGCTTGGTCGCCTTGGGGTGCAGGTTCACCTTCTCCAGGAGGACAATGGGGACCATCTTCCGCAGCTGCTGCTGCTGCTCCTCCCCAGGTCTTGGAGAGGG